TTACTAGTCTAAGTATACGATTTTATTCCGTTTATCAATAAGACTTGAATAAGATGATTAAAATTATTGTGTGTAGGATTTCTTATGTAGTTGATATTACTATTAAAAGTTCTCTTGTATGACACAAACAAATACAAATCAGCGCTGGTGCGACACAATGTCGTATCAGCTAATGTTGAGGCAGGGTCCTAGTTAGCCCTTACTGCATAAGTTCCTTTAAACATGTTATGTTTTAAGTGTTAATAAAAATTATTTTCTTTCTTTCTTTCTTGCCTCTACTTTTTCTGTTTTCTCTGGTCCGATCAGGAACTGTGAAAATTTAAATGTATGTCTGTATGAACGTGTATGTGTAACTTCTCTTCCTTGAAATGCCATAGCAGGATTGTTTTTACACAACAATTGAGATTGACTATTATCTTGGGAGCAATTTAAAGACAACTCGAACTATTCCGCAACAATGTCGCGAAGGTCCCTTAATGGGAACGAAACTTAAGGTTTAATGTTGAACGTATTCGTAAAGAAGTTCAATGAAACTTTATGTCAAACGTCATTTATAGCTTCTTTAATACTTGTATCTCAAATGAAACGAATTTGAAATTCCACCAGACAGAAGTTAGTATAAGTCTATTAAATCACTTCACACAAGGTTACACAAAATAATGACAATTTGATCTTAATAACGGATAATTAGCTAGGCAAAACCGGCCCGCATGACTATAGGTAAAATAGCGGTTGTTATCGGATAATTATACAAAGTAGCCGATAATGACGTTAAGATGGCGCATAGTGGGCGGAAACGATCAAAACTGGGAACGTGCGAAGCAGTAAATCTAAACCAAATGAAATCATTTCTTTTTGAATACTCGTATTAATGTCTGCTTTCTTGTAGCACTGTAGAAATTCATTTTTTAGGGGTAGAAACCACCGCTACCAACCCCTAAGCAGGCTAATCCACCAGATTCTTATAATTTACGAGCCGTTATATACAAACAGGTATTTTTACTCAATAATTACCTACTCTGCTATGGTTTACGCTTATATTGACAGCGAATAAAACTAGGCCGTCACCTCGGTCGTAGTCGTAAGTCGCGTCTGTCTGTAACACTTAGTGCCACAGCGCACGTGTGAAGTAAGTAGGTAGGTAGTGTGTAGATAAACAAAAATAATTACTTTGAACATAAAACGTCTATAAAACAAACACAATGAAATGTTTTCAACTGTAAACAACCGCTCTTTATGGGTGTAGAGCGAAAAAAGCTGTTGTTATCGGCTGGTCGAAAACGATAACAACCGCCGTTAGATCTATAGGCACGACTGATTGATGCGGCTACGATGCAACGGCCACGAATATTTTTACTGATGCAACAAACTGTGTCGCTACAGCAACTATAAAAATGTATTAGTGTTAGTTAACTTAAAATTCACTTGGTAATTAATACGTTCTAAACGAGCGTAAGTGCTTTTTAACCTGTATTTGAAAAATCTAGTCCCCCCAAATTCTGAATAAAAAATAACTAGACGTTTACTGTTCAATAGGTTACGCTATTTGAGAAACTAAATATTTAAACAGAAAGATATGAGCACGTCAAAATAGAAAAAAAACTTTCTAACGATACATGTTTTCTAAGATATTATATTGTTTGTTCTTTACTTATATTGAAGACAAGTTCAAGTTCAAGTTAAATTTCAACTTTCATTCTAGTGATATAAAAAAAAACACCTTTGATTACTAGTCTAAGTATACGATTTTATTCCGTTTATCAATAAGACTTGAATAAGATGATTAAAATTATTGTGTGTAGGATTTCTTATGTAGTTGATATTACTATTAAAAGTTCTCTTGTATGACACAAACAAATACAAATCAGCGCTGGTGCGACACAATGTCGTATCAGCTAATGTTGAGGCAGGGTCCTAGTTAGCCCTTACTGCATAAGTTCCTTTAAACATGTTATGTTTTAAGTGTTAATAAAAATTATTTTCTTTCTTTCTTTCTTGCCTCTACTTTTTCTGTTTTCTCTGGTCCGATCAGGAACTGTGAAAATTTAAATGTATGTCTGTATGAACGTGTATGTGTAACTTCTCTTCCTTGAAATGCCATAGCAGGATTGTTTTTACACAACAATTGAGATTGACTATTATCTTGGGAGCAATTTAAAGACAACTCGAACTATTCCGCAACAATGTCGCGAAGGTCCCTTAATGGGAACGAAACTTAAGGTTTAATGTTGAACGTATTCGTAAAGAAGTTCAATGAAACTTTATGTCAAACGTCATTTATAGCTTCTTTAATACTTGTATCTCAAATGAAACGAATTTGAAATTCCACCAGACAGAAGTTAGTATAAGTCTATTAAATCACTTCACACAAGGTTACACAAAATAATGACAATTTGATCTTAATAACGGATAATTAGCTAGGCAAAACCGGCCCGCATGACTATAGGTAAAATAGCGGTTGTTATCGGATAATTATACAAAGTAGCCGATAATGACGTTAAGATGGCGCATAGTGGGCGGAAACGATCAAAACTGGGAACGTGCGAAGCAGTAAATCTAAACCAAATGAAATCATTTCTTTTTGAATACTCGTATTAATGTCTGCTTTCTTGTAGCACTGTAGAAATTCATTTTTTAGGGGTAGAAACCACCGCTACCAACCCCTAAGCAGGCTAATCCACCAGATTCTTATAATTTACGAGCCGTTATATACAAACAGGTATTTTTACTCAATAATTACCTACTCTGCTATGGTTTACGCTTATATTGACAGCGAATAAAACTAGGCCGTCACCTCGGTCGTAGTCGTAAGTCGCGTCTGTCTGTAACACTTAGTGCCACAGCGCACGTGTGAAGTAAGTAGGTAGGTAGTGTGTAGATAAACAAAAATAATTACTTTGAACATAAAACGTCTATAAAACAAACACAATGAAATGTTTTCAACTGTAAACAACCGCTCTTTATGGGTGTAGAGCGAAAAAAGCTGTTGTTATCGGCTGGTCGAAAACGATAACAACCGCCGTTAGATCTATAGGCACGACTGATTGATGCGGCTACGATGCAACGGCCACGAATATTTTTACTGATGCAACAAACTGTGTCGCTACAGCAACTATAAAAATGTATTAGTGTTAGTTAACTTAAAATTCACTTGGTAATTAATACGTTCTAAACGAGCGTAAGTGCTTTTTAACCTGTATTTGAAAAATCTAGTCCCCCCAAATTCTGAATAAAAAAGAACTAGACGTTTACTGTTCAATAGGTTACGCTATTTGAGAAACTAAATATTTAAACAGAAAGATATGAGCACGTCAAAATAGAAAAAAAACTTTCTAACGATACATGTTTTCTAAGATATTATATTGTTTGTTCTTTACTTATATTGAAGACAAGTTCAAGTTCAAGTTAAAACAGAAAGAAATGAGCACGTCAAAATAGAAAAAAAACAACGATACATGTTTTTTAAGATATTATATTGTTTGTTCTATACTTATATTGAAGACAAGTTCAAAAGTGTGAGTAGAGCATCAAGATAAATATTATAGACGAGAAAATATCTGCTCCCAGTTAACAAGAAAGTTACGAAACATTGTAGCTAGTCTTACGTGCTTAAGCCCTATCTCGTTGAGAGGCATGAAAACCTTAAAGTCATTGTAACAATGGGTGAATCCACCGATCTTTAATCACGCATGACAGCAAAGCGATCTAAAACAAAGCTACGAGCTGGAATTGATGCGGCCGTCCGTGCCGTGCAGATTTCAAGTGCATTTTTTTCTAAGCTTTAACCAATCGTTGTGACATTTAGCCGTGTAATGGCGTAATGCATATTTATCTAATGTCTAAAATTTTGCCTATTGAACTCTGAAGCTAGATTTTATTTGACAGAATAAACCACCCACACTGGTTGATTTATCTTTTAGTGGTAGTAAGCTTATCTATAGTGATCCTAATTTAATCATAATATCCCATATTTGGATTACACAATCCGCCTTACATAGCGTCTGCAATTATTCGCGTGGAATCACTAACTCATCTTACTACGCGCATTTATCGACTAAGTGGGAACTCCCGCTCGCTATTCCTTTCTGCCAATAGAAGCCTATGTACGCTTGATGAAATCTCTTTATCAGTTGAAAATAAAAACTATTTCATTCAGTTTTGCTCAACTCTTTACCGCTCATTCCCATTTGGAAGTTGCAGGTTAGCATAAATGCTGCTTTATTTAATTACCACTTTTATCTTGGTTGCTTTCACTTAAAATTGCACGGTCTATCTTTTATCGTAGAAACTTTTATGTCATAAAATTAATTATGCATATCAGCATCTTCATTTCGCAGAAAATAATTTGGCATTCACTTATTAATCAGAACTTATAACTCATAATTTTATTAGCCTGAATCATCTTATGGCATAAATTTAATATCCACAATAATTAAAAAGCAGAACCATCATACCGTAGAAGGGTAATTCTTTGAAAAGCGTTCTCCGTGCTACTTTTGTGGCGAATTTTCATATTGCGTTAAAAAAAATAACATTATATTACAATAAATGAGAGTTAATAATAAGGCCCTCGGCATAAGTTAGCGAGTAGTATGCAAGTATGTATACGTTCATTGTTCACATTAATACTATTTGATTATACATATTTTGTCTATCAGACTATAAGTTATGTCTGGCGGACCTGGGATCTTATTCTAGCACCCTCTGGTCCTTCCTGGAGGTGCGAAAACTTGAGGAAATTTGTTTCATTGATAACTTCAAGATTGTTAAGCAATGTAATGCTGTTACTACTGCCAAAAAACCTCTCGAGCTAGACTCTCAGGTTACAGGAAGGTAAAGTTAGTGATTTTTTTCCTGGTGAGGCGACAAAGCAAGACAACAATATGTTCTTGTATTGTGTTTATAATACTTAATTATTTATAGAAACAAGCCCAACTAAATATAAGTACGAATACGTACATTTGGGAAAATATGCCTGAAATATGTGTTTTTATTTCCAGGTAAATCATCAAAAAGGGGATGACGTTCGGCGACGAGGACCTGCGGTGCGGCGCGGGGTGATCACTCTCGGAGCATGTGGGTGCTGTTAATGCTGGCGCTGGCGGCGGCCGCCTCCGCCGACTGCCCGCGCCACTGCGAATGCAAGTGGCGCAGCGGCAAGGAGTCCGCCCTCTGCGCCCGCGCCGGCCTCACCGCGGTGCCACCGCGTCTTGACCCTACCACGCAGCTCCTCGATCTCTCGGATAATCGCCTACCTACACTCCGGGACGATGCGTTTGCCGCAGCCGGCTTGCTCAACCTTCAACGTCTCTATCTTCCTTCGTGCAACGTCCGCCATATTCGCCAGTTTGCATTCAGAGCACTGGTCAATCTGGTTGAACTGGACCTTTCCAAAAATCGTCTTGATGCTGTACCTTCGCAAGCTTTTAATTCTATACCAGAACTTCGAGAATTACGACTGAATGGAAATCCCATCACTAAGATTTCAGATGATGCATTTATAGCTTTGCCACATTTAGTTCGTCTCTCTCTAAGTTTTTGTAAAATATCTGAAATAGAACCCCGAGGATTTACGGGGCTAGAAGCTTCCCTTGAGTACTTGGAGTTGAGCAAAAATCGACTGCAAATATTACATGTGGCTGTTTTGGCACCTTTGAGGTCATTAAAAGGATTAGAACTTGCGAACAATCCATGGGAGTGCAGCTGTGCTTTAAGACCTATGCGTGACTGGATGATAAGAAGAAATGTGCCTGCTACTGTAGTTCCAGAATGTGCTTTGCCACCACGATTGATGACTCAATCGTGGGATCGTCTTGATTTAGAAGATTTTGCATGTACACCTGAAGTGAGTGCATCTCCAAATCAGTTCAGAGGAGTGGAAGGAGACGACGTTACTTTAGTGTGTCGAGTCTCCGGTGTGCCAGCACCCAGAGTGCGGTGGTTGAGAGCGGGTCGTTTGCTCGCTAACACTTCTTCCACTCATGTCAATTCTGGAAAAGCTTTTATGTTACGCAGTGAAGGGCAGACTAGTAATCTTACTATAAAATCAGCCGATATGCAAGATACTGGGTCTTATGTATGTAATGCTGAGAACCGTGCCGGAAAGGCTGAAATAGTTTTAAGTTTAGCAATAGACAAAAAACCACCTAACAAAAGTTTCGGTGGTCGTGCCCTAATGGCTGGAATGGCAGTATCCGCTGTCTTAGTATTAAGTTCATGTCTAATAGGTTTATGTGCATATGAAACGCGAAAGAAAAGACAGTTAGATAGGTGGAATGAACAGATTGTAACAACAAATCATCGTGAGGATAGTTATGAAAAAATAGAAGCTAATATTAAAAATAATGTTGAATTACCGCGAGTGATATCTTCAGACAATGGTCGTAAAAGAGGTGATTATAGAAACGTACCCTTACATGATTCAGAAGATGATTACGAAGGGTACTTGAAGAGCGAAGCTCGGAATGACAGGGATAGTTCTTTAACTCCACCTTTACAGTCAGCTTGGCGACGTACTGATTACGATTCCAGAGTAACTAGAAGTAGTGAAACCGAACGAGATTTGCATATACCCAGATTTAGCGATTACAATATCAGGTAATTGTTCAAATTTATTTTTTGTCAGCCCTATTTCCAATATGGTCAGCAGAATAAACTCGTATTTTCCAGTAACATATCGTGATTAGCTGTCAACTCAATGATTCTGTCCCCATTTCAAACTATAGCAACCTCAAGATATACAAGAAATACTACTATGTTTCTTCTATTAGCTTTTTGTAATCACGGGGTTTCTAAAAGTAGTATATTGTGGTTAAATGATATTGAAGTTGAATTTGGAAATATGTTTTTTTATTTAGTTGACTTCTACTAAAGTAAAAATGTTTTAAACAATTTATTTATTTTTGAGCAATTAATAGTAGTATTTTTATGCTCTTTCCTTTCACGGGCCTGCTGGAAGAAATTTCAATATGAAATAAGCAATGCCCTTGTACAAATTTCTTGTTTCTGTTCTTCTTATCTTTTTATTGCGTGTGTACTTAATTAGTAAATAAATAAATAAAGTACGTATATACAGAGGAATTTAAGTTGTTTAGTGTAAACGGTGGCAAAAGTCACTTAAAACCAACATTCGTACGTCCAGTATTAAATTTATCGTTGAATTGATAGCATGGAGGACTTACTAACCACTTATTTTATTTAGGAAAAAAGTCGAAGCACATTTATATTAATATAAATAGATTGTCCCACAACATTTTTATATTAGAGGGAACGTATTTTAAATACTGTAGATAGAAAACTGTACTGAATGACAACTTCATTTTTATTTGAAAAAAAATACCTACGATATGCTTGCAAAGAATGTTAAAAATCGCATGTTGAATCGGAAATCACATCTGCAAAATGTAAAAAAAACAGTGATTTAACTGTTCCGATGGCTCAATGATAATAAACATTTATTAATGGCTGCCCGCGACTTCGCCTGCGTTGAGCCATTTTAACTCCCTCTAGGAATGATTTCTGGGATTGAAAATATCCTATATTCTTCCCCGGGACTCAAACTATCTCTATATCAAATTTCAGATAAATCAGTTCAGCAGTTTAAGCGTGAAGAGGTAACAGACAGACAAATACACTAGACACGCATTTATAATATTGGTATGGATTCGGCTTTCGTTTCTCAGCAACAGTTGTTGATATTCTTAATAAAAAAATGAAGACTAAGCTTTAGTAGGCATATTCGCTTACTCGAGATTGATTTATTGAAACTAGGCGTAAATGTTCAAATGTGTTATAAAGTTCAATTTGTGAATCATGCAATCATACTAGTTCGTATAAACTGAATCTTTTACATATCACCATAAAAATGTAACGTGATTAGATCTAAGGGTTTCTATTTCTATTATAATTGAATGACAAGTGTCATTTGAGTGATATGAACAAAACACGGCGTAAATAGTCTAAGCTTATTATTCCTCGTTCATTAATAAGGGAGATAGAGTAAAGGCTATTAATTATTCTTAACAATATAAATCAAAAGTTCATTTTTATGATTTTCCTTTTTACAGATAATCTGTTTTTAAGACGAAGTAGATGTGTTTTATTGAGCTTTTCGGTCAGTACAGTAAAATAATAGGTATGTAAAAAAAACATAGCCGTTACGATTCCCGTTTCAGGCAATTTTTTAATGCAATTCGCATTGTTTTGAAAATAGGTTTTTTCCTTCCACTTGGCAAGTCTTGGATACCCTATATGTTACAACAAATCATTAGCTCTTATCTCTTTATTTTATTAGAGTATGTTATTTTATCCTTATTTAAGCACCTTAGCTTTTGACGCCCATACTAAATTTCATTCCCCGTTTACCTCCTTTAGGGGTGGGTTGCTTTTTGAATGGTTTAATAAAATTGAGTTTTGTAGGCCTCGGAGGTTCTATTAAAAGTAGAAAGTATTTAACAAGTTATAAATTAATAATCTACTATTTTTGTTCTAGGTCAGATGCGACGTCTGATTCAGTGCAGAGTTCTCACTCCGCGGGGGTATCAAACCCTCATGTAGAGATACTATCAGAAAGCAATCGGTACAACAATAACCCGCGATCGTGCCCCCGGCCCCGTACTTGCGACCGTCTCGACAATGATCTCTCTGGAAGTGACAGTGAAAAGAACTATCCCGATCTTATAGAAATGAGTGCTCTTGGTACATCATCTTATTTAAGAAGCGAAGCCAAACATGATCCATATTACTTTTATACTATACCAAGAAGAAAAGACGGAGATAGTCGTAGTCCGCTGCTAAGTAGCAGACGGAACAGTTCGGGGGGTGATTCTATAAATTTTACGCAGTATGATAAAATCCGATTACGCTCCTCTGGACGACGGTCAAATAGTTTTTTGGATTTGTCTACTGGTGGAAAACGAATACGACGTAATCCAAGTTTGCCAGCTTCACCCACAAGAGAACAATCGACAGTACCGTCCGCAACACCTCTTTTGAACCTCACAGGATTGAATGATTATACTCAAAGAGGTCAGCCATTAGAGGATTTTGATTTTCGCGCGTCACAACTAGAGAAGTTTCTTGAAGAATATAGAAATCTGCGAGAACAACTTTCAAGGATGAAAGAAACAAGAGAAAATTTGCAAAGAACCAGAGCTGTTGAGAACAGCGAAAAACGGACCGTTATGAAAGGGAAGCCTAGTGTTGCGGTAACTGAAACATCATCATCTGTAGCACTAGCGGATGCTGCATCTCCATTAGCGCGTAGTCCCCCTGAGTATAAACCCCAACAACCCCAACCGGAATGGCTCACTACATTATTATATCGTAATTAAGCAAACCAGTAAATGTACCGTGGAAATTTAATTCACATTTTATTTGTATTTCTGATTTGTAGAAAATATTGATTGTAAATATTAGGAACGGCCCGTCGTTCGCGATAAGAATTTAAATTGTTTGTAAGTGAAACATGAAAAAGCATTCTTCAGAAGTTGAAATAAATTGAATCGAGGAAACAAGTTCGCTTTTATTTATGAAGTAATTGACGAGAAGGTCGTCATCCTCTACGAGTTTTTTTTATATTGACTAAAAATTACATTTTTATTATTAAAGGTAACAGCTATCACCGAGAAATATCAATGTATTTCTCAGTGATAGCTAATTACGGTACGGTACGGTAATTTAAACAACTATTGGTTAATAATAGCCAAGTAAATCCTTACAGCTTTCAACGTGAATTAAAGACATAAAAAATATACATATACATATATATAAAAATATACTAGCCCCAAAGTAAGCACTGTAAGGCTTGTGTTATGGGATACTAGGTTAAAGGATAGAATACATATTCCGTACCGATACATTACAATTATGAGTTCACATGAAAGAAGTAAACAACACGTATCATTTACGAAAACTACAAGTTTTATCAGTTGGTATTTCATATTATCGTTAAAAAATGTATAATTTATTCAATGGTTTTATGGCTTTAGTCACTAATAAATCGAATTAGTTATTGCTAAGACTCTTTTGATGAGTATACATAGTCAGATAATAAATTCTGTCACATGTTTAATATAAAATAATTGAAACAAGTGTATTCATTATGTAACCATTTATATACCAAAATGAACTTGACAAAACATAGATTCTTATGACAATAAAGTTTATTCAAAGTGACCTCCGTGATTTTGAATACAGGCCATCAATATGCGCGGCCAGTCATCTATCGCAGCACGAATGAGGTCCATGTCAATATCGGCGGCCGCCTTATTCAAGGATGTCTTGAGTGACTCCAAATTGGGATGAGTCTTTGAGCACGCCTTTTCCTCCAAGTGTTGCCGTATCTTGTAATCTAACGGACTCAAATCTGGACTGGAGGGCCAGTCGTCGTGCCGGATGAAGTCGATTTCATGCGCCGCCAGAAAGTCTTGTGTGCTCTTCGCTCTATGATCTGGCGCCGAATCTTGTTGGAATACCCAGTGCCTGTTATTGAACATGGTATGAGAAAAAGATTCCACAAGGTTCGTCAGGACTGTATTTTGATACACAGCTGCATTCGTTTTTAACCTTTCTTACAAAAATGTACCTCTGATAAGCCCCAATAAGGAACTCCCAACCATACCATGAGCGAGGATGTAAAATCATCTCATTGGACACGCGGAATACGGTTACGCGCTTCTTCACTACTGTGTGCGTACACCTTATCATTTTGTTTGTTGTAGCTCTCTTCTACGGTAAAAATTTTTTCATCCGAAAAAAGAATTTCCCGATATTTTTTCTCGCGTACCGCTTCAACAAAGCGCGGCATCTCTTCAGCCGCATTCAAACGATGTCCTGTTTTTCTTCGATATTTCCGAAGCTCTAAGTCCTCATTTAACACCCTTTTTACCGTGGTTCTGCTTAACCCCATCTGAAGGGCCAACAGTTTCGTTTGGAATTTCTTTGAATTCGCGCCCTTCACAGCTTTTACACACTGCTGGAGTCTTAACAGACCGAGGGCGACCACTTCTTGACCTGTCATCTACACTAGAGTCTTCATTGTATCGTTTGATGGTACGATAAACGAATCTTTTGGTTATATTCAAAATTTTTAGTATGTCAAAAATTTGAATTGGCGCGTAACTGCAACGATGCAACGCAATAACTGCAACACGGTCTTCTTTAAGCGTCCACTCTCTATATTTTTCTAGTCTTTATATTTAAAAATGAGTAAAATTCTAAAAAGTATACATTTTTATTTTCATGAACAACTCGAAATTCGAATTTAATAAACTTTACTCTTTGTGGCCAGCATCCTAAAAGAAAATTTTTTACTGTGTGACAATACTTATGACCTGACTGTTTATAATTTGATATATTTATATATAAATATATCAAATTATAAATATATATCAAAAGAGCTTAGCAATATGAACTTTTTGAATAAATATATATATATATATACATCCATAACCACCACCACAACCAATTGACTACGGAGGTTGTCAAAAATATTCAGCTAAAAAATTATTTTGTACTAAAGCGTCATGTACTTACTTTTATTGCACCCGGTGTTTATAGTCCATAGTAGTGTAGGTGAAAATAGTCCAGTTGCGAGGGTAGTTGATGCTGCATTAAAAGTTGCCTCTTCAGCCTTCTTTACCTTCTTGCCCCGAAACATATTCCCCTATAGCTAGAAAAGATCTAATCCTATTATTTAGATAGAAAAATAATAGAATTAAATATAGGTATTTAGATAGCTAAATAATAGTGTTCGCTGTTGTTGTGGGCTACGTGATCTTCTATAAAATGATGGGAACTAACTTGTTCGGATGGATGAATGCCCTAATTCAGGCAAATAATGCTCTTGTAGGGCCAAGTAGGGGGCAGTGAAACAAGGGGTAAAGTGTAACTTAAGGAATATATCTGGCCTTTTCTTATTTGTCTATGCTCTGCCTTGGCGTGTTTTATTAGTTTCATAGGCCGCTATCATAATCAGCTATCAGACGTCAAATGGGCGGTATTATACAGATATATTCCTTATGTTACAATGTGCCCCCTTGTAACTAGTGTTGCCCAAATTCAGTCTTGGTCTTGTTCTTGCATTTTTGCAAGACCAAGACCAAGAACAAGACCGCGTATATTTAGCAAGACCAAGACCAAGACTGACCGTGCAAGACTTGAGCAAGAACAAGGCTAATCCGCAAGACTCTTGCGTCTTGCAGCTAGGACTTAGCGGTATTTTACGGAGTAGTTAGGTATAACAGCTCGGTGTATAGGTACGCTTAGGAATTCTATGAGACGCAAAAAACTGTATCAAAGAATATGAAAAACTGGACCTATGCGCATTACGACCAATACCATAAACATACGTTTAGCGAATAAAAAAATATCCATTAAAATCAAACAGAGTGCATGCATAGTTTTGTTTTAACCATCGGCACTTTGATAATGCGGCATCAAAGGTTTGGTACCGACTTCTCAAAGAAATTTGCCGCTTTTCGGAAGTACATGGTGATGATACACGCGACGGCGGCTTCTATTGAAATCACATACAACAATCGTTGCCGCCGCGCCGTAATCACAACATTTGACACTATTTGGTTGCCGCCACAGGGCCTAGGTATACTCATGCAAAATTCTAATTTCGTGTCGTGCCGTCCCACTCACGCTAAAACTATTTAATATATGAGCGAGCGCGACGGTACGACACGAACTTCGATTTTCGAATTTTAGAGTACAGGTGTTCCAAACAATAAATAAGTTTCAGAGTGCTTAGAATGGAAACTAATACATTATACTGATCACGCAAATAGTATTATGATTAGATAATGGTAAGGATAGGTAGTAGATGTCATAATAATTTATTCCAGTAAGTATATATTATAATATTGATTATATGGGTTTAAACTAATTACTTAGGTACTATTATTGTACATTTAGTCAAAATATTTCTTAAATTTCTTAAGTTTTTACAAGAAAAAATAGCAAAAATGTGGTCAAATATCACCCGTTTGATAAATTTTTAGCCACTTTTAAATATAGGTAGGTACTTGAAACGTGTAAAAAAAATCTACAAAACTAATAAAATAATATAAAAAGCATTCAAATGCGTTTTTCTAAGATCTAAAGTAAACTTTAATAAATAGCAATAGTCTAATAGGTAATTGCAAGACTTGCAAGACTCTTGCTGCAAGACCAAGACCAAGACCAAGACTGGGAGCGCAAGACCAAGACCAGGTGTATTGGCGCAAGACCAAGACCAAGACTGGCTAAGTCTCGTCTTGTTCTTGCATTTGGGCAACACTACTTGTAACACTGTCCCCCACTTGACCGTACTCTCCTCTCTTAAAATATTAATTTAATTTCGATTAATAAATTATTGATTAATTTTAAAGACATTTTAGTAAGTAAATTACAAAGTTGTGATCAAGAATACAAACAGCTTTTTAGGGTTCTAGTATCGTCATGTCCGTCTGTCCGTCCCCGGTTTTGCTTGGAGGCTGTTAGCACTAGAAAGCTGTAATTTTGTGGAGATATGTATATCAATCACGCCGGCAAAATGGTAGAATAAGATTTTGAAAAATTTTTTTTTGGGTAGATCCGAATCTGGGGCTGATTTTTTTTCATCGTCTACCCTATATCATTTAGTAGGTCCCTTAAAATGACTTAGGGGTTTATAAGACATTTTGTGATTTAGGGATCCATTTGCGAAATAATTAATTTTAAAGTGCTAATTTTTGTTCGAATAGAGCGACCCGCTCTTAGAGCTAAACTATTGGTTTGAAGAACCTGGAAAATTTCATGATAATAGAGTGCTTTTCATGACAAAGGTGAAGTTATTGTAGCGTAAAACCTTGCATTGAACAACAAAATCTAAAAAACTATTTAAAAACCACAATGAAATATCATTAGTTCTACAAAGCTACCGCGTGTACCAACGGTAACGGCTTCTGAACCGAGCTATCGTTACGTTTTTATAAAGAGTATAGAAGCACTTGAACAGATCGGTGGTCGATCTTTCGTATTAAAAACAAAAAATATCATGTTGATTTTGAGTTTGAGCGCAGTTTGTTTTTGTTCGGATATTTAAGTTCAGTTCAGTTGAGATATAAAGTTAGTTTAAAATGAATAGATTTTTTTTTAATTTCCGATACAGAATATAAAGAAAAGAGACTCCTGCTCAAATATAATGTGGCAACTACGGAACACTACACAGCGCGTGGCACGACAGAACTACACGCACTTGGCCGCTTTTTTAACTTTCACAACCATCCTGAAGTACCTACAAAGCTAATTTATTATACAAAAATGCGAAAGAAAAATGTAATTTAAGCATTCCTTACTTTATATTAAGCGGTATCACAAAAACAGTTTTATCAATGAGGACAAAAACAAAGGGTGACCCCTTATTCAAGTCTCACGTGCCAAAATCGACGAAATTACTTCGGAAGTACCCTAAAAAGTTGGAGTAACAGCCGCTCAGCTCGTTAGTCTGACAGAATACATCGCTACTCCCGAACAATATGACAT